GCCGCCACTGGGACACGTGGCTACCACGGGCACCAATGCGGCACTACAGTAGTTTACGAATTTAAATTTAACACTACAGTACAGTAAAAATAATAATACAGCCCCGATCCGCTTCGCGTTCGCTAGCGATCCCGGCGCACACCGTCTACGCGAAATCAGTAAGTTACTAACTGTCCTCTTTGCTCCGGCCGGCTTGCCGCCCGCGGTATTAGAGCGCACGCGAACGCTTACTGACAGTTGACGGTGTGTGGTTTTTTACGCAGTGTCTACGCAAGAAGAGAGAGAAGAACTACGCCGCGCCCGCCGCGCCGCGACCCCGATCCGCCTCGATTTCGGCGATTCCCCGCCAGCGACCACACGTGTCACAGTCCTACAACCAGCTCCTCCGCGCGCGCCCGCCCCACGTGTACACGTCCCCAGAATTGCGCGCGCGCCCGCCCCACGTGTACCGCGCGCGCTGCTCCCACGTGTGCCACGGCTCCCACGCGCCCCTGCGCCAGCACCCGCACCACGTGTACCACGCGCTCCGGTCCCACGTGTTATACGTTTGCCCCCGCCTATCATTCCTACATTTCGTGGGCTACGTGTGCCACGTGCAATCGAGCGGCCGCGTGCGCGCGCGTTGCCAGCTGCACGTGTGCCACGTGCAATCGAGCGTCCGCGTGCGCGCGCGGTGCCAGCTGTCAGTGCTGTGTTGCGGAGTGTGCCCGTGTACATGTGTGACATCTGCAACTTTCATTGCACGCGCGCGATACTGTGGGACGGGCATGTGCATACCGAGGGGCACGTGGCTCAAGTGATTCAAGCGGGCCGCACATTCCGCTGCGAGGTGTGTACGTGCACGGTGGCAAGTGCCCACGACTTTAGGCGACACCTGGCGGGCAAGAAGCACAAGAGGAAGCTCCAATCGATCACGGGATAGTACAAGACAATAAAGGCCCTACTGTTACTTCTTTTGCTAAGTGCTCTCGCGGACGACCTAGCTGGCTGACGTTGCGTTTAGACCTTTGAGGACTGCTTGCTACGACTCATAGCGATCTACAACGGACCCCTCGCACTTGCGTCAACCCTAGTTGCACTTGCTGAGATACCACTAGCGCGCTGGGCATAACACAAATGGCGGGACCAGCAGATGAAGACGTAGCAGAAGCAAGAAGGCAGCAAAGAAACGCGCGTACAAGGGCAAGGAGAGCGCAAGAGTCGGAATCTGAAGCTCAAGCACGTCGTGAGGCAGGTCGAGCTCGGGCGAGAATTCGGAGGGGACAACACACCGAATCTAAGGCTCAAGCGCGTCGCCAAACCGCCCGGGAACGTACTGCAGAACGAAGAGCAGCAGACACTTCTGAGCAGCGCGAAGAGCGTCTTCGTCGAAACAGGGAGAGAACCAGGGCGCGCAGAGCCGTTCAATCACGGACAGAGGGTCCCAGAGAGTCTCCAAAGCTCCGAGCAGCAACGGAACGTGCCAGAGCCTCGAATCGAGCATCTATGCAACGCACGAGACAGGCTGAGAGCCCTCCTGACCGCATAACTCGATTGGAGGCCTCTCGTGTCTCAATGCAACAGAGAAGAGCTGACGCGACAACCCCAGAGAGACATGAGCGTCAAGACTCAAACCGAAGATCTACAGAAGCAGCTAGAGCGGAAGAAAATACCCCCCTCCGAGATGCACGGCGCGAAGCGAATCGCAATGCGACACGAGGAGCTAGAGCCGAGGAAATTACTCCTGCTCGTGAGGCGCGGCGAGACCTTGACCGTCTATCCACCCAACGATCAAGGGATGCACAAGACACACCGACTCGGAATGCCCGGCAACGATCCGACGGCCAGGCTCGAACGGCTTCTCGGCAGCTCTTCCCCCCACTACCCGAATCCTCGCTTTCGTATCGCGATCTCGGCATGGTCCATATTGAGTGTTCGCACTGCAAAGCTCTGCATTTCGTCCAAGAACGCATCGTGAGCAGCTCTGCCGCAAGGCCCATGTTTTCCACATGCTGTGGGAAGGGGAAGCTGTCACTGCCCCTTCTCACCGACCCGCCAGCTCTTCTGCGCTCTCTTCTCATCGATGATACTCCAAGGGCCCGCCGCTTCCGTAAAAACATTCGAGCATACAATTCAGCGCTGTCTATGGCGTCCGTGGTCGCCAAATGGGTGAAAAGAGGGCCCGGTACTTCCAATTTTAACCCCACAATGACGATGCAGGGCGAGATGTACCATTACATGGGTCCCATGATGCCATCCGAGGGGCGGGCGCCTTCCTTTGCTTCCGTTTACATTCACGACACTGACTACGGTACTCAAACGCGCACAAGGCTTGGCGGAGCCTCTACACGACTGGAAGACACACTGTTAATGCAACTGACGCACATGCTGCACGAATGCAACCCCTACGTGCAGACTGTTCTCAGTATGCGAGAATGGGCTCAATCCCCTCAACCCAACACTCCAGCCCCGTACCAGATGGTCATCCATGCCGACCGCAGGCCAAGTCATGAGCACGTGCGCCGGTACAATGGTCCCGAAGCTTCTGAAGTGGCAGCATTGATCCCTGGAAATGAACACGGAGAGATTGGGCGAAGAGATATCGTCGTGCGCAGGCGAGGGACTCTGAACAGTAACGGGAACGAAGTGCTGGATCCGATTTCAGTCAGTCATCGTGCATACGATCCGTTGAGTTACGTGCTTTTGTTCCCGAACGGTAGAGATGGATGGTATCCAGAGCTTCGATTCTCCAGTGATGACGACGGCAGACGTACCAAGATTACTCCGATGATGTACTACGGATGGCATTTGTTCGAAAGAGCAGGCGAGTTCAGCACAATTTTGCACGCAGCGCGACTCTTTCAGCAATATTTGGTTGACCAGTTCTGCAAAGTGGAGGCAGAAAGGCTTTCGTATCTCCGCCACAACCAGACACAGCTTCGAGCCGCCGACTACACCTCACTGCGTGACAGCCTAGGAGACTCCGGTCGTGCTGAAGATGAAGCCGATGCTGTGCGTGCGGGACGACTGTTCATTCTCCCTTCCACGTACATTGGAGGTGACCGCTACATGAGGCAGCAGATGCACGACATCATTGCTATATCGAACCAAATTGGCCACCCGGACATCTTCCTCACTATGACATGCAATCCAAGCTGGCCGGAGATCACAAGACCCCTACTGCCGAACCAAACGCCTCAGGACAGACCGGACCTGTGCGCACGTGTGTTTCGTCTGAAAATGAAAGATCTCATGTCCTTGGTCATCAACGAGGAAGTATTCGGAACCGTCGTTGCCCATGTACGAGTCATCGAATTTCAGAAACGCGGTCTTCCCCACGCTCACGTTGTATTTTTCCTAGATGAAGTCTCCAAGAATGATCTGCGTACTCCCGAAAACGTCGACCGCATTATCTCTGCCGAGATCCCGTCTGCCCAAGATCCAGAACTCCAAGAGGTCGTGCTCAAGCATATGATTCACAATCCATGTGGAGAACGCAATCCAACAGCCGTGTGCATGGGCGAGCAGTACTGCAGGAAAGGGTTTCCAAAATCGTTCAAACACGAAACCAGCCAGTCCCACAGTGAGTACTACATCACGTACCGCAGAAGGTCCCCCTCTGCAGATGGCGTCTCCATCGAGCGACCCTCCCGTGTTGGCCGACGACAGCAATCCGTCGTGGTCGACAACTCCTGGGTCGTTCCCCACAGTCCTCTGCTTCTACGATCATTCGCTTGCCATTTGAATGTGGAACTCTGCGTGTCACGCGTTGGCGGAATCAAGTACCTCTTCAAGTATGTTTGCAAGGGACAAGACCGAGTGACCATGGAAATCACTGCCGAGAACGAGTGCCACGACGAGATCTCCAACTTCCAAGATGCCAGATACATTTCGGCATCGGAGGCCGCATGGAGGTTATTCTCCTTTGACATTGTAGATCGCAATCCTCCAGTGGTCAGACTTACGGTGCATCTGCCCAACCACCATACAGTATACTTTGAGGAAGGGCGAGAGCAGGAGGCGGCGCTTCGACCAGCATCAGGTACGAAGCTGACCGAGTGGTTTAAAGCCAACGAGAAGTACCCAAGCGCGAGGCATCTTCGGTACCACAAGTTTCCAAGGTACTTTACGTGGAAGACACGCACCAAGTCATGGAGTCCAAGAGCAACCCTGCGAAGACGGAACGCCACCAGCGAAGAGGAAGCCTACGATTTCAGTGGTACAGGTGCCAACGTAGTCGGTCGAATCTACACTGTCAGTCCGAGGGAGGGTGAGCGCTACTTTCTTCGCCTCCTCCTCACACAAGTGCCAGGGGCAACATCCTTCGAGAACTTGCGAAATATCGACGGCGAGCAGTGCACCAGCTTCCGACAAGCTTGCTTACGACTCGGTTTGCTGGCCGACGATGCCGAGTGGAAGCACGCAATCCGAGATTCATTCCGGTCAAGCTTCGTTCCTCTTTCTCATCTGTTTGCTACGATTCTGGCACACTGCCAGCCTTCGGACCCTCTCTCGCTGTGGAACGACCACCTGGACATGTTTCTCACCGATATTCGCAATCGTGCACGCAGACAACCCATTCGAAGACAGCATCTTCGCGATGATCACCACGCCACATCTTACGTACTTCGAGAGGTACAGGAGGCTCTGCAGACCGTGCGATCCGACTGGACGCTCGCAAACTTCGGACTCCCACTGCCCGATGACAGCCTGCCCGCTTTGGAACAGCAAAACGAGATCGAGACCCCCGAAGCACGAGCGCAGCAGTGGGAAGGGCGACTACAGACGTCGTTGCCGCTGTTGAACACAAATCAACGTCATGCCTTTGACGAAATAGTGGGCTCCTTGCTTCCAGGCGTATCCGTCTCTGCATTGCTTCAAGGATCCTTAAGCGCCGTTGCGGGACCTTCTATGCCGACACGTAGTGGTCGTCTCTTCTTCCTCGATGCTCCTGGCGGAACAGGCAAAACATTCGTGCTCAGCGCCATTCAAGACTTCCTTCGTACGAGCCGTAAGCAGGTCATCGCTGTCGCTACGTCTGCTGTTGCTGCTGTGCTGCTCGACGGTGGACGCACCGCTCATTCCGTGTTCAAGATTCCCATTCCTGTATCTGCCGAAAGCACGTGCAGCTTCTCCGCAAACTCCGACACAGGCCGTACAATGCAACAAGTCGATCTCATCATATGGGACGAGATCGTCATGTGCCATCGACATTGCATTGAGACTGTCGATCGCTCCCTTCGAGACTTGATGCAAACCGACCGGCCCTTCGGAGGAAAGTTCCTCGTGCTCGCTGGAGACTTTAGACAAATCCTTCCCGTCGTTCCGGGCGGGTCCAGAGGTCAAATCGTGAGTGCGTGCGTCAAGGCTTCCCCGCTGTATCGAGAGTGCCGATTCCTGCGCCCTACCGAGAACATGCGCCTTGCTGCTCTCCGAGCGGACCCTGCAGCAGATGTGGAGGCTCTCAACTTTCCAGAATTCTTCCTCCGCGTCGGGGAAGGCAGACTTCAAGGCGAACAGCGCCCGGAATGGATCTCACTACCACAGTCCGTTGCGTTCGAGCACACCATCCGCAATTTATGCCTCAAGGTCTTCCAAGGCATTCGAGACAATCACGCCGACCCTGCCTGGCTCACCAAGCGCGTTATACTCACCACAAAGAACAGGCCGCTCGAGGAAGTCAACGAGGTCATCGGCAACATGATTCCGGGATCGTATCGAACGTATTTGAGCGCAGAAAAGGTCGAGAACGAAGACACCAACGCGCTGATCTATCCCACAGAAATGCTCAACACCTTGACCGCCGGATCTGCTCTACCAGACCACAAGCTCAAGCTCAAGAAAGGCTTCATCGTCATGCTTCTGCGCAATCTCGATCCCGCTACCGGTCACGTCAACGGCGCGCGATATGTCATCGAGAACATGACCAACAACCTGCTCTTTCTACACGTTACCACCGGGTCACACCAAGGCAACAGACTGTGTCTTCCTCGAATGCCCTGCGGACCAGGAGACGACAACTTTCCCATCCCTGGCTTCACCCGAACGCAGTTCCCCATTCGCACGTGCTTCGCCCTTACAACGAAAAAAGCGCAAGGCCAATCCTTCGGTGGCCGCATTGGTCTCGACTTACGAGATCACTGCTTCTCGCACGGTCAACTCTATGTCGCACTATCAAGGACTACTCACCCAGGCAACGTCACTGTCCTCACTCGAGAGTCCAATGAAACCACGCGAAACGTAGTGTACCCCGAGGTCCTTCAGTAGTTACCAAAAAAAGTAAACGCCATTGTCTTTACATATTTTCATTGCCACCCTTCCCAAATAGTGTTCCTCCACGCTTCCTTGGCTCGGCGCGCGAAGCGCGCACGGAGCCCACTTGTCCCCGCGTATACTAATTTCCGTGTCTGTCTGTCTGTGTGTTTGTGTATGTGTGTTCGTGCGCTCCCGCACGCGTTGCCATTGGCGCACGGGCGACACGTGGCAGACAAGTGGCGGCCACGTGCGGGGCGCGGCCTGGCCGCAAGCAAAGGCCGCCCCGACA